AAGTTAAAATTGAAAAGCTTAGCTGAAGATGACGCCATTATGATGCAACCCGGATCTGGTGAAAGCCATGTTTTGTATGTTCCTATTTTCCCAACTCTTGTTTTCACTCTCTCAAATCTACTTGGAGTAGCTTTCCCTTTTGATTTTTGTGATGTGTGACAAAGTATATGGAATTTCAACAGCTTTCCTGATAGTCATGGAGATGATCTGATCGTTGAGATCCTTGATCCAATGGGGAAGGATTTTGGGCGTGTGCTTGTGCAACTAGCTAATATTTCTGAAGATTCGGTAAGTCATTTTACTTGCCTTTTTTATATGTTAGTACGTTTCAAATGATTCTAATGAAGAAACCATACAGGCTGAGAAACTTCGCTGGTGGTCTGTTTTTCGTGAGCCAGAACATCAACATGTGGGAAAACTCCAGCTCTATATTGACTATTCAGCAAGTTTTGATGATAACAGCCATTTGAAGGTGTGTTAACTACCTATCACTCATTATATTTGGTACCTTTGGTGATCTCTTTTTTGCTTTGCTCTCTATAAGTGGATTGGCGTTTCTTTTTAGTATACTATGAGACACTCCAGCAGTCCATTTCCTTTAGCAACTTTAAAACTTTATCTCGTACAACAATAGCCTCTTCTATTGGTCATAGTAACTAGATTGTTTGAACCTGAAAATATTATCTTACAATAGTTGTTAATGTTGGACTTATTATTAGAAATTTTACTAAAAGATGGACCTTTATGGCTTTCAAAGAGCTCATGCACGTATATTCAGCTCCTCTCACATTCAATTCTTTCAATTCTAAGTTCTTTGATTGAAACAAGATTTCTATTCTACCCTTTGAAGATTGTGTCTCTGAACACAGACAAAACTCATTGTATTGTGTTTAGAAAATGTTTGTGTATTGATTTTCTAATTCATCTTCCCTTTAGTGTGCTTCTGTTGCGGAAACAGTCGCATATGACCTAGTCCTGGAAGTGGCCTTGAAAATGCAGCGGTTTCAGCAAAGAAACTTGTTGTTATATGGTTCATGGAAATGGCTTTTGGAAGAATTTGCCACCTACTATGGGATTTCAGATGTCTACACCAAGCTCAGGTATACAGTACTCATTTTTTTTAATTCTCATCATTTGAGGGATATGCTATAACTCCATTTTCTCTATCTTTCTTGTATTGTTGCTTATAGATACTTGTCCTATGTAATGGATGTCGCTACACCGACTTCCGACTGTCTCCATTTGGTACATGACTTGTTAACACCTGTCATCATGAAGGGAAATGGCAAGAGCGCCTTGAGTCATCAAGAGGTACAAATGCATTTATCGATTATTAATTTTTCTGTGCGGGTTTCTGTTTTGTGTGGGTTTCGTAGTTATGTGATTCTTGTCTCACATTTAGCGACAGATAGGATACGACCCTAAAGTTAGCTTGTATACGTTGATCATAGTACTTCACTCAGAGAACCACATTAGAATACAATGGTGAATAACAGAGTTAGACTTCACGCAGTTGCTCACATGGCAATTTTAAGCATCAGACAGTACCTCATATCACCCAAGTTAATCCTGTTTGTTGTTGGTTTTTTTTCTTGTGAAAGCATAATAGTACTTTCTGCTTATGGAGCTCTACTTTTTATTTTTGCTTCAACAGAATCGGATCTTGAATGAAATCAAGGACCAGATCGAGCAGATTCTGAAGCTGGTCTTTGAGAACTACAAATCTCTTGACGAGTCATCATTTTCTGGAATGATTGATGTGGTCAGTTCTGCATCAGGGGTTCCAGCGCCAGCACTCACTCCTGCTGTGAAATTGTACACGCTTCTGCACGATGTCTTATCACCCGAGGATCAGACTAATCTTTGTCATTATTTTCAGGTATATCATACAGCCTCTCAATTGCCTTACCTTACTCTTGAGTCTTGATCAGTCATTTTTTCTCATCTATCTGGTATCAATGCATTTATAGGCAGCAGCAAAGAAGAGATCTAGAAGGCACATGGGTGAGACAGATGAGTTTGTTGCAAACAATAGCGAGCCCAATTTTTGGGATACGTCTGCAATGTCGGCTGCTTACCAGAAAATGACAATGGCCTGCAAGAATGTAAAGAATGAGATCTACACTGATATTGAGATCCAAAATGAAGATATACTTCCCAGGTTAGTATACAAGTGAAAAATAGTTATGTTCAACTATTATTCTGTTCAATTATTCCAAATAATTTATATAAGAGATAACTGAATGCTACTCTTGTCCAAAATATGCAACGTCAAGTAGATCTTCAACCAAAATATTATTTGCTGACCAACCAACCCTAGTCAACTGTAGTGGATACTGTTTGTGGGTTGTGTTGGTGACAAGCTCTAAAGTTTCAAAGTAGTGGCCATATTATTTTCATCTTACAATAGACAGACTCGTGAACTTATTAGCTAGATGGCCAAATTCTTTTCAGAAATTTGGTAGCAACTTCTTTTCCTTCCCTTAGCTTCTCTTTCAATCTATGGTTATACGTAGTTAACATCACCCATACTATTGCCCTTATGTGTTATCTACTATCTGTGAACCACTATTGTGTCATTATGGTATCAAATTTATGTGATTGAGATGTTTAGATGTGTGACTGTACCTAAGGCTCTTGTTGCATCTTCCTGCAGCTGTTGATACCCCGTGTTTCTTATATTGTTTTATGCAGCTTTCTTGACCTTCCAAACCTGTCAGCGTCTATATATAGCACTGATCTCTGTAATAGACTTCGAGCATTCCTCGTTGCATGTCCGCCCTCTGGCCCTTCACCAACAGTTGCAGAGCTTGTGATTGCTACTGCAGACTTTCAACGTGATCTTTCCAGCTGGAACATTAGGTAGGTCGTTTAGATTATTTGGTTTGTTGATTGTCTGTTATATTTTTGACTGGTATCATATTTCAATTTACAGTCCTATCCAAGGCGGTGTTGATGCAAAAGAGTTGTTTCATCTATATATCATGATTTGGATTCAAGATAAACGCCTTTCATTACTTGAGTCCTGCAAACTTGATAAGGTATGTATACTGAAATTTCCGTTTGTTTTTCTTCAGATATATTTTTTTAATATATTTTCCCTTGCTCTCTGTTCTTCTCAGCATATGTCGCATCATTAAAACTGACTTCGTTGTATCATTACAAAACCTGTCATTCAAGCAGGTTAAATGGTCTGGAGTCAGGACACAGCATTCAACAACTCCATTTGTTGATGAAATGTACAAGAGGCTGAACGAAACCATTCAAGACTATCAAGTTATCATTTCCAGATGGCCAGAATATATCTTTGTTCTGGAGAGTGTAAGTTTAGCTGTTCCTTGATGCCTTTTGATTTTGATATTGGGATTGTGGAAATATTGCTTGTACATTCCATTGCAAGTTATCAGCGTACAACTTAATTTAATTTATGGTGTGAATTTGGAATGAAAAGGCTGACATTGATTGTGTTTCATTTAGGCCATTGCTGATGTTGAAAAAGCAACTGTGGAAGCTCTGGAGAAGCAGTATGCAGATGTCTTATCACCTCTCAAAGAAAACTTGGCTCCAAAAAAACTAAGCTTCAAGTATGTCCAAAAACTGACCAAAAGATCTGTGATTCCATATATAGTCCCGGATGAGGTGAGCATAACTTTCCTGCATTTTTTCCCTTAACTTCTATCAGAAAATAGATTTGTTTTCCTGAGAAGTTTCTGTATCTGTTTGGTGCAGCTTGGCATTCTATTAAACTCCATGAAGAGGATGCTTGATGTTCTACGGCCTAATATAGAGGCTAAATTTAAAGCATGGTCTTCATGCATTCCTGATGGTGGGAATGCAGCTCCTGGTGATCGTCTTTCTGAGGTGACAGTGATGCTCAGAGCCAAGTTCCGTAGTTACCTTCAGGCTGTGGTCGAAAAGCTTGTAGAAAATGTGAGTTTCCCTTAACTCTTTTATTTCCTAGCTATTCCTATGTTATAGGGCTGGAATCTTATAAAAGAAATAAGCTGATCAAAATATGTAGTCAACAGCAAAAGTAAGAATGATTTGTAGTGCATTCCTATTGCCATTTCTGCTGTTTTGGTGTTTCTTGTGTAACGTTTGTCCATGTTTTGTTATCTTGTTGGGTTTAGCATGTTTTGAGACCTTCCCCTTCATTATATGCTTGTGTTGTAATCGGTTATTTTGTTTATTTTCAGAGCAAGCTACAAAAGACGACAATGTTGAAGAAGATTCTTCAGGACTCTAAAGAAAGTGTTGGAGAATCAGACATCAGAAGCAAAATGAATAACCTCAAGGAGCAGCTCACCAACACAGTGAATCATCTACACTCGGTTTGTGAGACGCATGTCTTCATCGCATTGTCTCGAGGATATTGGGATCGTATGGGGCAGGTAACTATTTTTAATGGCCTCTCCTGTCCTGACTTTTTGTTTTGCGGTGTTGGAGAGCTAATTATTCTCGTGTGCTGTGATAGATCGTTTTAAGCTTTTTGGAGAACAGGAAAGAGAATAGAGCTTGGTACAAGGGTTCTAGAGTTGCTGTCTCGGTAAGTCCCAATAAAAAACTGCTCTTACTTAGATTGTATGAGTCACCTGATCTTACATGGAATGATGCGTATTTTCAGATATTAGACGATACATTTGCAGCACAGATGCAACAGCTGCTTGGCAACTCGTTAAGAGAGCAAGACCTGGAGCCTCCTAGATCGATCATGGAGGTTCGGTCGATTCTTTGCAAGGACACTGCAGATAATAAAGCCAAGTCGTTCTACTACTGAGCATCTTAACAGCTAAAAATGCTTGAAAGATTTCAGATCTCATTTGCTCGTCTGCTTGAAGCTGCAAGTATTTTTACTGGGTGGAGCAAATCGACGAAACCTTGAGAAAGCTTTAGATGTATAATAAAGTACAATGGTTACCACATCTTTCTTTAGTGCTAATGAATGTCAATATATTACAACAAGACTGGCATCACATTTGATACGAATTGTGATAAGAGTAACAACACGTGGAAGTCAAAGTTTACTACAAAACTCTTTATTAAATTTAACGTGACAGAGTATTAACTTCATCTGATAAATCTTTGGCAAAGCTGATAAGAATAGATCTCTCTCAAAGCTGATAAATCGTTTGTTACTTGATGTTTGAACTGAACAATTACATATGAAGCATTTACGCTCTCAATAGGGTGTATCGATCAAACGGAAACCTTGCAATGTAGAGACGTTTTATTCTCCTTGATAAAGTCGAGATTTTCATGTCCCACTAGAACCTTCTCTATAACAAGATAATATCCTGCGTCAGCAGTTCTCAGATCGCTTCAATGTTGGTTATCACGTCGTCTACCTGATCAACCTTAACAGGGGTGTTTTCACCAACCTACAAGAGAGAGACTGCAAAGACTGGATAACATTTTTTGTATCTTCATTGCAAAGTTAGAGTGTTCTCAAAACTGGTGAAGTTAGTGTATCTTTTGATGTATCTATCTCCAGAGTTACCGATCGAAGCTTTTGATGGTGGAAAACTGGTGAAAAGCGGTCTAGACGGTCGCCTAGGCCCCACTTAGGGCTAGACGCTCAGGTGATGCCTAGACGACCGTTTCGGCCGCCCAAAATTGCATAAGTTTTGGTTCAGTATAGTAATATCTAGTGGTAATTATAAGTATATCATATGTTTTCAAAAACATCAAAATTAACTTAAAAATTGCTAAATTAACTACAACTATCATAATTATTAAAAAAATAAACAAAAATGAAGAAACTATATTGACAAAAAAATCAAGTAAAAATAAGCAAAACATAACCAAAAACTTCAATTTTTTGTAATATATTATTAGATAAGAATTACATATTAAATAAATATATTTTATATAATTAATTGGATGCTCATAACTTAATTGACATGTAAATTTGTTTGTGTCTAAAACTTTCATTTTTATATCAACCACTTTGATAAATGGAACATTCTTTAAATATATATATATATATTTAGAATTACTAATTTGAATAATTTCTTTACAAAAATATTTTTACAATATTAGTTATCAATTGTGTATAATTTCCTCAACTATATCTATACTATTAATTGGGAAGCATTGGATAATAAATAACCTTATGAAGTGTAAAGAATTACAAAAAATGCCATTGGGATAATTACAATCAAAGAGTAAATGAAAAAAAATCGTTGAAGGGCAAAATCATAATTTAAAAGCAAAATACCCATGGATCTTGGGCGAGTGGATCGGATAAACACGCGGATTCTGGGCTTATTTGGCGGATCGACACGCGGATCATGGACCCGACCCGGACTGTTGGAATATGGCATTTTGGGACAATCAAGCGGATCCTGTGAGTCTGTGACAATCAATTTTGGTTAAGATTTGGCAATGTTGTTATTAGATATTTCTTGCAATATACTAAAAATTATTTCGAAACCAAAAATGACATATATCATTTAAGATATACCCAAAACAAACGTATCCCTTTAATTTCGAATATAAAATAAGGATAGATAGTAAACGTAACAAGATTTAGTTTCAAAAATCTCCAAATTTGATGGTTGTTTTCGATATGATACGAATTCGGATAATATATTTACCAAAAAAAAACAACAACTAAATATTCATAACCTAAATAATCAAGTATATACCTTAAATCTTTGTACAAAACGTTTTGATTAATTATGAAGAGGAAGAAGATTTTTTATGGTGTCTATTGGAAATTGATTTTCTGCTTAATACTGCATAAGAGAAGAGAAAACGTCTAGAAAGTCCCTATCTCTCAAACGAAAAGCTCAAAAAGTGAAGGTGAAGAGAGTGAGAAGAAGAAGATGGCTAATACCATCATGATTAAGCAAGAAGAAGAAGAAAAGAAGTGTTCGATGAAGAAGAGGAGCTACGGGGAGAGAAAACGTGTTGTTAGCCCCTTAACAAGAAAAAGGTTTTTGGGCCAATATGCAAAATAGGCCCAACATAAATATACATAAAAATATACTCCGTTTCGGTTTAGTTGTCGTTTTAGCATTTAAATTTTGTTTCATAATAGTTGTCGTTTTAGGTTTTCAATGCAAATGTTTGGTGAAAATTCCAGTTTTATCCCTACTGTTTTAATGTTTTGGCCAATGAATTTTTTTATAAAATATATTAATAAAGGGTAAAACAAAAAATTTAATGCTTTTCTTAATTTGTATGAAAAAACCTTAAACGACAACTAAAACGAAACGGAGGGAGTATTAAAAAAAACAAAAAAAAAACATAAAACTATACAATATATATTTCCATTTCCAAAAGTATAAAATTACAGACTTAGGATTTATCTTTTACTATAAGATATATTTATAAAATTTTAGTAATATTATAAAACACAAATAAAACATTTACGGGTCGTGTAGTAAAATGAGAAACATATCGAATAACGAGATAAGTATTACAAAATATAAATACTCGATACTCGACCCTTATCTAACGGCCACAAGTAATAGAATCACAATATCTTTTACCCGACCCTAAGATCACGACTACCCTTTTCTTGAGACGGGTACAAATCGGGCAACAGATTGAATACATGTAACGGGTATCTAGCCTTAAATGCTATATACGTATAAAAATTCAAATACAAATAAAACTCCGCACGTATGTGCGGGTCCGGATCTAGTAAGTATACTAAATAAGGACCCATCCGATGGACAGGTTTATTTTTTTTAAAATTAAAATCAAATTTAACAAAAAATTAATTAACAACGTTGTAAGTAGAATTTTTTTTTCAAAAGTAAAAACAATATTTACTTTTTCATTGTGGCATTGTTTCTTTAACCACTAAAATTATTAATTCAAAATTATTTCGAATGAAAGATATATCACATAACAATAATTTATGGTATACTTATATGAAGAACAAAATTAAAAAGTATTCATCATAAAGCTGGTGAATAAAACCAAAGTGGTGTTTAATTAGACACGTTAAAAATATAAAGATGATAAATTGACTAAATTCTTTAGCCTTCCAAGCTAACGTTGCGGGTTCGATTCCTATATAGTCGATTGCAATAACTTTATGATCAATCAATAAAAATTGATAAATTCAAAAAATTATAAGCACGATGATATATGGATTTTATATAATTCAAATATGAACATAGAAATTTAAATAAACAATTTTGAAATAGTATAATTAAATTCAAAATATCAAAAACAAAATAGAAGCATATATGTTTCTTACATATTCAAGAATTTTAAATAAAACAATATAAAACTTTACTTAAAATCATTACATATTTCTAGTTAGAAAATAATATTGATATAAATAATGTAAATTTGTAATTTAAATCATGACACATGTCGCTATCTTAAATCATTAAACTATGATATATTATAAATTTTATATAATTTAAACTGAATGTAGAAACCAAAATAAATAATTTAAATATCAACAGTTAAACTAAAAATAAAAAAATTATAAACACGATGATATATGAATCTTTGATAATTTAAAGGGAGACTCACAAAAATGCCCCTTTTTCAATACCCCTTTTCAAAAATGCCTCCTTTGGATGTCCATTTTTAAAAATACCCTTTTTATGTACAAAATGACTAAATTACCCTTCTTTTAATAAAAGATATCATAAATATATAAGGAAATATAACAAAATTAGGTCCACAAAATACAAAATATTTTTTGGCGGGAAAAGTGATCCCCCAATTTTTCCCGCCAAAACACTTGTAAAAATTTGTAAAACCTTTAAAATACCTTGTAAAATTTTCCCGTAAAATTTTTTTCCGCCAAAAAATTTTTTTTGCGGGAAAAGTGATTCCGCAAATTTTTTGGCGTTAAATTTTTGGCGGGAAAATTTTTGGCGGGAAAAATTTACAAGGTATTTTAAAGGGTTTTTACAGGGTATTTATAAGGTTTTACAATGTATTTTAAAAGGTTTTACAACGTATTTATAAAGTATTTATAAGATTTTACAAACTATTTTATAAGGTTTTAAAGGTTTTACAAGTTTTTTATAAGGTTTTACAAGTTATAAATACCTTATAAAACCTTATAAGTACCTTGTAAAACCTTTTAAAATACATTGTAAAACCTTACAAAACACTTGTAAATACTCCGTAAAACCTTTAAAATACCTTGTAATTTTTTCCCGCCAAAAAATTTTCGGCAAAAAAATTGCGGAATCACTTTTCCCGCAAAAAATATTTTTGGCGGGAAAATTTTTTCGCGGGAAAAATTTTTACGGGAAAATTTTACAAGGTATTTTAAAGGTTTTTACAAGTGTTTTGGCGGGAAAATTGCGGGATCACTTTTCCCGCCAAAAAATATTTTGTATTTTGTGGACCTAATTTTGTTTCAAATAAGGGTAAAATGGTCACTAAAAATTAAAAGAGGGCAAACTTAAAAATGGACTCTAAAAAAGGGCATTTTTGAAAAGGGGTATTGAAAAAGGGGCATTTTTAACAATTTCTCTAATTTAAATATGAAAAGAGAAATTGAAATAAATAATATAACTATACTACAATCACAATTTAGGACAAACAAAAAAAACAGTTAAGTAAAAGAATTTACAAAAAGGAAAAAAATTGATCTCACATATTTCTAATTGAAAAAATAAACTCAAATAAATAATATGAGGATTAGTTTAATTAAATCATCACATATTTCTAATTGGAAAAGAAATTGAGATAAATAATATCAAGTTTTAAATGAATATATAAATAACATATGTTTCAATTTTAATAAATTTGCCTGATTTTTTAATTGTTTAATTGAAATATAAAAAATGGATAATTTCCTTATTATTTTCTTTTGATATTTTTTAAATTTTTTTTATAGAAATATGAATTATTTACAATTATTCTTATAATTATCTTTTACGTTTTTAAAATTATTTAAATTTGTAATTACTTTCAATTATCTTTTTTTTTAAAGGAAATTTTTGTTTTACACGTGTCAAATCTAAGATCGATAGATTTGCCACGTGTCACGATCATATGAGTTATTAACTTTGCCATACTTTATATAATAAGATATGTTTTAAAACATAATTGTTTTTCTTGCACGTTATAATAATCTTTTTACGAAATTAGAAATTAATTGTATAATTTGTTTGGTTATAGAAATATATATTTCTTTGTCGAAAATAATCCTTTTTAGAATTAGTAATCTATTGAATGATTTCCTTATAATATGTTTACACATGACAAACCCCCATGTCACCGCCCGCTTAGCGTCTAGCGCTTTCTTGAACATTTATCAGATTGCAACCAATCCTTGCTATTTATAATTCTTTCAAAGTGTATGAGCTTATCACACTGACTTCATAACATGCTGCCATATCAAATTAAGATCAAATCAATCACTAAAATTGCATGTTGAGAATACAATGGAAAAGAGAGGAGCATAACACACACAGAGAGAAGACTAGAAGAGGCAACAAATGACATTTGTACAGAGATAATTTAATTGATATAAAACATTGCCAAGGCTTTTTGTAGACTTATATGATCATCATGTGAGATTTGTTCAGACAAGCTTTGATATAGCCTGGCACGACATCCAGAATGCTTTGGATGCAATACTCAGTATCATCGGGTTTTGATATATCCTGTTGCCAAAAGAATTAAAAGGAAAATTAGATTAGCGAGACAATGCGAAACATTCAGTACATACAAAATAAAGATTCGATGTGTTAAAGAGGATGTTTTTGCGTGATATACCCTATCGCGGTTGCGCTCCATGATGCAACGTTGTAAATAACTTTACTTCCCTCCCATGCCTTGCGAAGCTTCCCCTTCCTCTTCTTCACTGAAAACATCGTGCTAAGTGCTACATCACAGTTCATAAGCAAACTCTTAGTATCCATTAGACTTAAAAGCCACCCTTCATACGCAAACTCTTAGTATTTGCTAGATATAAAAGTCACCCTAAGTTGGTTTGTCAAGTATTTTGTTGATTTGGGGCCTTAGGGAAGACAGAGTTTTGGGGTTCTCTATAACAAAAACCAAGGCTACTATCTAAACTTGAGGGAGAGTATTAAAGCTGAAATCTTTTCTAATTATAACACATGGAAGTTGAAGATTTACCTTTCTGAAGCTGATCAGGTGATATATCCTACACAAAGATAGCACTCAGAATAAGTTCCACATGAAAAGTCGATGAGACATAAAACGAGTAAGGACAAGATACGCGTTACATATATACCTTTGTCTGCTTAAGGGATGATAAATATGTAGCCATGAAACAAGCAATACCGTCTGCTATATCTTCTTCTCTAACAACCACATAATCATCTTCCATTTGACCCATACATTCCTCATCCCATAAATCATCTTCACTAACTACGTCCCAAGAGCTACTATCTTCTGCAAATTCAACAGCTTATATAGTTAGTTATCTCTACAACCAAATTACACATACATTGGCAATCAAATTGGGTAAATAAACAAAGCTGAAACATCTTACCAGCAAGATCTTGGGGAACTGAAACTTGAGCTAATTCTATCTTTTCACGAAAGTCATGACATTCAACTCTAGATTTGATGAGATCATAAAACTGCACAAGAAAAACAAAATCATGAAATCGAGTCACAAAGCTTCTATGAGCTATCCTCAATCACAATCCTACGAAGCAGAGAGATTAAGGTAATTACTTTATCAGCTTCAGGATCTCCTGGATCGGAAGAAGACGACTCTTCCCTGTCCGATTCCTCCTCCTCCTCCTCCTCCGGTGATTCACTCTGTTCGCCACCGTTTTCATCGCCGGGAAGTTCTAGCAGCTGAAGAGCTCTCTGGCAATCCTCGAGCAGATTCTGCAACGTCTTCCGCTTGACACGGATACAATCCAAATCGATGCGGTTTCCTTTGTTGTCGGCATCATGAGTCGAGCAAGAGACTTCGATTTCCATGGAATCGGAAAGTTTTGCTGAAATTTGTGAAAGAGAAGAAGATGAATTGATTGTTCTCCTCCACAATTTTCCAACTTGCGACCTATTTGTTTGTTTTATTTCCACCGGAAAAAGGGAAAAGAGAGTCGTGACGAGTAAGACAACAAGCAACTAAATATTGCTGAAATTAGAATCTATTGAATCTTACGGAGAAAAATTGCTTTATATATATCTTAAAGAAATTTAATATATTTTTTATCGTCTGAGTATTTGATTTTTTTAAAATATATATTAAAATAGATTATTGATTTAAAACTTTAAACCCACCCAGCAGCAAATCATACTTAACCACCATAAAAACCATAATCAAAATCAACATTCAATCAGAAAGCAATTGATTACTTATTAAAATCTCGATTAGTACCAAAGACATATACTCATAGTTTGTCTTTAACCCGCGGTACACCGCGGGTCTATATTTTTATTAGAAAAATTTATTAAATTTTGTTTTAAGATACTCTATAGATATATACTATTTTTTTGTTTAATTTAAATGTATAATACACCGTGAGACAAAATTTTATCACAAAAATTGAAATTTTATAGATAGACGTAGTATAAAAACAATAGATTCAATTATATGATTTTGAATAAGATGCTGATTTAACCCGTCTTATACTGATTTTACCAGCGGTATACCGTATGCTAAATTTTAAATAATAAAATGAGGATTTAATATGTGTTATAGCGATATATTAGTGATATTTTAATTTTATATTAATATCAATCCTAACCAAACCTGTGTCATACAATTCGTCCCGTAATATTTAAAACTATTTTATAAAAACTCAAAAACCATAGCTAAATGGGCAAACAAAAGCCAAAAAATTTAAATATATCAATTAGAAATTTTTGAATTTAATTAGAAAAGATTGCTCCATAATTTTAAATCTTACGTATTTAATGTATTTATGAAGATTTGATATTTGAATTTATTTGAGAACATTACTTATTTTTAGCAATTTCAGAAAAAGACATGGGTTAAAGCTTGAACTGATCCGATAATTAAGGTCTGAATTAATAGTTTTGCACCGGCCTTGTTATTTTATTTGTATTTTCTAATTATTTTATCACTATTCAAACCTTAATGATCCATGTGATTAACACTAACCTATTATTGTTATATAATCACAAATATTAAAAATAATATGTTTAGAACTGCCATGAAAAAAAAATTAAGTATGCAACTTTCATTAGTTCACATAATGAAAAAATAAACACATAGAGTATTAGAACCCAATAACAAAGAATCATGTCTACCAATTTTGTAAAGACCTACATAGCCCAAATTGTGTTTATTCAACTCTCTCATATACCCAAAATGAAAAACTTAGAAACGGAAAGTTCAAACTCAATCATCGGTGGTTTAGCAGATGAAGTCACCGTCGTTAACGGTCACAGTAACGGCTCCGTCGATCTGAGCCTTATTTCTTCAAAGCTACAGCAAAACGCATGGATCTACTCTCCGTGTAGCGTATCAAGGAGTTCTCGGCGTGTATTTTGAAGCTACCACCGGAAAAGCATATCCGAAATCTGAAGATATTCGGTGTGATCAATTCGATGTTGCGTTTCAGGCGGTGGAGCTTTGGATCGCCGATCGTCTTGTTTTGCCAATCGAAACCTAAAGAATTACGATCTCCTCCTCGTCACCATCTTCACATCGTCGGCGAGGTTTAGATCCCGGTTCACCACTGTCTCCTAGCTCTTCCCGGAGTCCGTACAGATTGCATCACGTCTGCGATTTCTTATTTTCTGTAAAACTGGTGAGTTTTTATTAGACTAATGAAAGGTATTTATAATGTTTTGAGAATACTATAGGGTTTTGGGTGAGTGAGCTCCTAAAATCTTGCTGATCAAGTAACAATATCTTCAAAATCTTTTATTTTTGGAATTGAGTAATTTTCTTGCAAATCTCGAAAAAAAAAAAAGAAATATAGGAAAGATAATTATGAGTAATTAGTTGGGATGACAGCCAATGGTAGAGATTTTAGAAGGAAAGCGAGAGATTTTTGGCAACAATTTTTGAACGTAACATCTTTGATTTAGGAGAGATTTTTGGAATATGCTTATACCGAAATATATGTGTAATTATCTACATTAATGACGATTTTTTTTAGATTTCCTTAAATGTCTTATCCAAGATCCGGATATAGTAAAACCGAGTAAAACCCGGATCCAAATTATTAAAAGCAAAAACCCCCTGCAAAAATATATATATAGATTGTTATTTTGATTTTAAATTTATTGCAATTTAAATGGGCAATTGCCTATATTTAATCTGTTATTGTAAAAGAAAAATGACATAGCTTATTATTAGAATATTAAACAAATTTATTAACATAATATATATATATATATATATATATATATATACTGTTAAAAAAATAAATACGTTATATTGTTAAAATCTGGACATTTATTATGAACATAAATATGAAAACGATTTTCCATTAAAATCGGCTATTTATTAGGGTCATTAATATGAAAGATATTAAGACAACATGGCTTCATTTATTAGTTTGAAATTAAGACAACATCCCTTAAATTGCTAATCCAAGATCCGAATAGACTAAAACCCGGGTCAAACCCGAATCCAAAAGAATTAAAGCAAAAAAGTACTATAAAAATGTATATGTAGATTCTCCGTAAGTATATTAATCAGTAGCAGTTGATAAAGTCCTTAAAACTTGTTGAAGCTCCGAAAAAAATTTAACAGTTACCAAAAAGACTTGTTTATGCTAATTAACACCATCATTGTAAGTCTTATGCTAATCTCTTACCAGTGTTCAAGAAAGCGCTAGGCGCTAAGCGGGCGGTGATCCAATGCCTAGCGCCTAGAACGCCTAATCGGGGCTTAGGCGATTTTTTAGGCGGTTTAGACGTTTATAACATAAAATATTATAAATATGATATTATATATAAAAGTTATATAAAATATCTATATAAAACTAAAAATTATGAAATTATAAACAAAAATTAGATAAAACATTTATTTATATTTATATTAAACAATATATGAATATTTATAACTATATATATAAATAAAACTCTAATTAAAATTGAAAAAATACATTAAACAAGATCTGTGTAATTTTAGGCGGTCAAGGCGGTTATCTAGGCGTCGCATAAGAGCCTAGCGCCTAGTCGGGGCCTAGGCGACCGCCTAGACCGCTTTTTAGAACACTGTCTCTTACTAATAAAAGGGGCTAATTGAGGCCTCTTAGGCCATCCACATCAGCTATTCCAAAAACTTCTCTTAAGATGCCACATCAGCTCTCTCATCTATTAACTTCTATTAAAATGTCACTTACCTTAAACATAATTTTTGAAACGTATCTGCATTCATCACGCCCCTTTCTAAAATTTAACCTAAACGTATCGTCTTCCCCTCTTTCCATCCACAGTTTTGGGTTTTCTCCATTGTTCTACATGTATGATTGTCTATTTCTTTAGTTTAAATGTGATACGATTCTGATCAATCATGTTATTTTCTCATTGAGAGGCAATAATCCAATCGATGAGTTCAGGGTATGGTGGTAGAGCAGGAGAAGGGATCACAAACAACTCCAAGAAAAACAAACTCAACGGCGACGAGAAGAAAGAGGATAGATTGCTAAAGCCGGTGGAGACTGGCATCGGAGATTTCAGAATTGTTTCACACATTTTTAAACAAATCTATGCCATCTTTGTTGATTTTTCATATGAATTTACTGAAGATCACGATTCATGACCATATCTCATTCCTAATTATCACTTTTCTACACCACATTTCATGTTGCTTGCGTTTTGGACTTAAATCTCTTTGATGTTCTGTTTTAATTAGAGAAAATTTTAAGATGCTTCCCATGTCTATGATTTAGATGTTACAATTTCATCACACAATTGTGAACAGAAAATATTTTGTTTGAAATTAACCTGAACCAATGTTAGTGTCTCTTCAGGTTAGTAAAAAGATCATATCTTGGTGGTTTATCTTTGTTTTCTACATTTTCCATTCAGTATCAGAGGTATGATGTCGGTGCAACAATAAAACCAGAGAGTTTTCAATAGACAAGCTCAAAAGGTTGATGAGACAAACTATGCTTTTGGGAACTGTTATGAGATCAAATGCAAGACAAAGGAACAAGAGTATCAAGAAAATGATCAAAGAGTTTCTTACATCAAAGAAAATTTTAGTTATCGATTAGGAATGGTGGTGAAAGATAACAGAGTGTGTGTCAAGACAATGGTCTTCTCAATCTAAGCTAAAGTTCGTAATCGCAAGGTATGAAATATTCTATTCTTCAATTTTTAATCTAAAAGCTTTTGTGGTATTTAACAGTGGAATTATTTCCCCTAAAGTCTGGTGACTCCATTTCTCAGAATTATGACGATGTCGACTCAATTTCAGACATCTCAACTTTGAAGGTAATCAGCTCACAGAACAATAGATAGCACGAGAATTTATATACCAAAACACAATTATATTCAAAGTTATGATTACGGACTGTAAGAACAAAATGACCAGAGATACGCATCAGACTTGGTTCAACTTTGTATAACAACATAGTGAAACCTATTCTCTAATATACTACGTGTGCTCATAATTCCACAATAAAAAGTACTCATAAAACATTAAAGGAAAAACAAAATAAGGGAGAAAATAACGAAATTGTACTATATCAAATACCAAAGAAGCAGTAATAAGTAGCTAACAAGAGCTTATGCAATAATTACATAATACTTTGTAACAAGATCATGCAAAACATGAAACTAAGTCTATGTAGCACTATAACGTAAATCCACCGGGCGTAGCCCGGATTCACCCCTAGTTAGCATAAACGTTGTACATGAAGTTATGTGTCATTGCAATTAAGTTAACTTTGCCAAGCAGTGTTGGCCCAAAGTTGTGGACTGTCAAAAGCAACCCATCAGTATTTAAAAGAATTAGTATAAACTGATGTGAGAGAATTTGAATACACAATCTTCTTAGCCGATTTACTATGACATAAACTGCTACAGTATAAAGAGTTTTCATAATTATAATGCCCCCTAACATGGTAATACATTTGTGATGCTTAAAGCTCTTGCTTGTTGGGTTTCATCCCAGATTCAAGCACATCAATCTAATTTTAAAAGAAGTCGTTTTAAGCTGTC